CTGAAATTTACCAACGGACTTTCTGAGCTCCCAGCAGAGCTGATCACACTGGTCCTGGAAGAACTCCACTACACCGACATCCTACAATGCGAACGGGTGAGTGCTGTAGCTTCCTACGCCACATTTACGGCGTACTCATGCTTGGATTAGGTATGCAAACAGCTCCGGGGCCTCATTCGAGAATCTGCGTCCCTACAGTACAAGATCGACCTCGGAGCCAACAGCATGGATGACGTCCCCTCGAATACCCTCAGCAATGCAATGAAACGAGAGATCCTTACACGGCATATTCGAGCGACGAAGAAATGGCCAGAAGATCTCCTGACGAAGCAGACAATACCATTACTGGAGGGTCCATTGTGGGAATTGTGCGGAGGGGTCCTGGCACAAAGTCACGGACGGCGGGATCTGGATTTTTGGCAGCTTCCCTCGACGATCAGAGGTATACCTGCAAAGGAGTGGGGTGTGGATGTCGACTTCGATATTGCAGACTTCACGTTGGACCCGTCTCAAGATTTACTGGTGGCCGTGGATGTGCAGAGTCCCATGTGAGTACCGTCGCCGATGATTAAAGCTTTCTCGTCCACTGAACGCTATGCATGTAGGTGCCATGCGCATCTACTTACCCTCAGCGGCGGAAAAGCTCACCCAGCGGCATCTGTGCAGCGGCTAGAGTTCCCGCTTCCCCCCTACGATATCCCGAACAGATCCTACCATCTTCGGATCTGTGGTGACTACGTCGGAATCATAATCAGAGTATTCGACCTCATCTCAGAAGAGCCTCATACTGTGTTCGGTGTGGCGAACTGGAGAACGGGGGAGCGGAAGTTGGTGAGCAAGAACTTGACTTATTCAGAAAGTCGGCTCTCTTGTCTAATAGGCGGTTTACAATAGCTCACATCCTATTGGGGGATCCTATCATTCGCTTTTTTGGATACTCAGCATATCGTCCTATTGCGTGGCGTTGATCAGATGCCTGAAATGAACTTTCAAGAGGGCTCAACCACTGCTGTTGTAGTCTCTGTGGTTGACTTCGTTCAACCTGTACCGTCGAACGCTCCTCACGAAGCACCTCATTGTCCTCACGTCACCCTCAACTTACCCACAGTTGCTGACCGATGGGAGATATGGCATGCCGAAGTCGTATGCGATCCTGCACCCGGTTGTGCTCCCATGACTGCTAACGCACCTTCTTCTGGTCCAAGAACGAAGCAGTCAAACGCCACTTGTCTCTCTGACGACTTGCAAGCACCCCTACCCCCATTTCACGTCACGAAATCTGATCGTATCGTCGCAATCCGTATCAACGGTGTCGACACTCTGTTTGAGCAGGGCGACTCCATCGACATCTTCGTTCACGCATCATCCCTCCTTCGCTTACTCGACACACACCTCAATCCGCCATCAACGCCCTACGTACCACCACACTCACTTCCGTCGACACCTGGCTCGTCTCCCACATCTCCATCCTCTACCCTTCCCCATTTACGGTCCATGCGACCTTACCATGCTCACAAGGCTCGCATCACCACTCCAGCGCTCACGGAGAGTAGCTATGACCAGGATCGCGCTGTACGGTGGCAAGCATGGGGACCAAACTTGACTCGCGTCTTGCCTGCGTCTGTGCCCGCTTGTGTGTGGTGTTACCCAGCGTACGGCATGCGATTTGTCGGGCAGTCAGATGGCTACGTCACGGTGTACGACTTCAACTTGACTGCCGTCCGGAAGAGCCTGTGTCCATCTAGTGATCGAAAAGGAGACTCGGCTGGGCACAGAGATGACGATTTGGACTCGGAAGACGGATATTGGGATGGTCGGGAGCGGTGGATAAGCGCAGAGGACGGTGGAGAGACAGTCACGAAAGCTGTCGTACACTCCCGGCCGTTCTTCAAAGACGTTGTCAAGTCGAATCTGCCGTATAGGAGATTCAAGACTGACTTGAAGATGGAGGTGGGCCAGTTTGTGATGATCAACGAAGACTCAGTGTTACTTGTGAAGGTGTGTGGCATTTGACGGACTGTGGTGACCGATACTGATGATCCCGGTAGGAGTATTCGAAGGAGTTCAAGATCTCGTCGCTGTGATGAAGCTATCTATACCATAGGTTTTGCTTTACAGAGCTATTCCCCTGCATTTCTATCATGCTATCGTCTACCCGCTGTCGGTTCTACCCACACATAATGATTCCCTTGGTATCGTCAATTTATTGTACGTGTACACCATACTTACCCCATTGTTTTACAAGAAATATATCAGTCGAAACACCGTTTACAACATGATTTTGTGGTCTCAGAATCAGTCATCGAACAAGAAAAATCTCCGCTCCTGCCCGGATGGAGACAAGCAGACCAGCTGCGAATCTAAAAAGGTATCGATATCGAAAGAACCATAACCAGAAGATCCACTGACGGCAGGTAGGTAAGCCTGGAGTTGGATATGAGAGCAGACACTCACCCAAATGCACTAGGACTGCCCCCGTTGTCTGCTCCTAGGGTACTCGGGTTCACCCAGACACGACCTGGGCAAGGTTCAGTGGGACTGGTATCGATCCTCCAAGGGGACATACAGCTCGTTATTCGCCGAGATAGTTGAAGGGCCGCGCCGACGTCCTCGGTCCAAATCGATGCATTCGAGGAATACGATGTAGCATTGGCCATTGTTATCGCGTCCTCTACCGTGTCCACCACCGCAAAAGCCAGCACTGCAGATCGAGCGGTGATGAGTGGTGATGGAGATTTTTCTTTACTGAGCAGCACGTACCGGGACCAAAGGACTCTCTGTCCCACAACCTGTCCCCCGGCTTTGCTCCAAGCACAACGTGAGGCTGGACCCATGGACCGTCGTGCTTCATGTCACCCGCTAGTAAGCACGCGCCTCCGTTGACAGCGTCGTTTACCATGCTGACAATGTTTTCCGCCGCCGCTTCTGATGATGAACAGCTCATCTTGCAGCCACCACCCACTTTGAGGCGTAGCGCTATAGCTTTGACCCTGCGAATGAACTCATTGGCAATGCCTCGTTGAACGATGGCCCGTTTAGTGCAGAGACATGATTGACCGTTGCTGATCATCGCCCCAGATACAACGGCACGAGCGGCAGCTTCGACGTTTGCGTCGTCTAGGATCTGTTCCAGCCATATCAGTCATCTAGACTTGCCAGTTATGACTTTGGGCGAGACAGCTCACCACGGCAGGTGCCTTCCCTCCCAGCTCAAGAGCACATGGTTTCAAGTGTTTCGCAGCTTCCGCCGCAACGATCTTGCCTACTAGATCACTCCCGACGAACTATAAGCGAGTGGTCGTTGAGCGAGGATATTCAAAACATTACTGGTTACGTGTACTCACAGCAATCTTGCGGACCGCCGGATGCGCAATCATCTCGCTCACGCGTGCAGTTGCGTCCTCTTTCGAGACATGGACAGTATTGAGGACTCCATCTGGTAGACCAGCCTGTGGAAAGCTGTGAGTGACCTGTTTCAACCGAGTACTAAACAAAGTGCTGACGACTCGCCTCCTTGAAGATATCGCCCGCTAGCTGTTGACATGCTGGACTCTGCTCGGAAGTGCACAGGACAACCGCATTGCCAGCTGCAAGTGCGGGAACGACGCTACTCATGAGTATACCCAACGGCGCGTTCCATGGGATTATGAACAATCTAGATCGCGAACAAACCCTTGTTTGTCAGAAATTCAAACATGGAGGAGCGCAACACTGACATGACACCCATAGGCCGCTTGTAGGCAAACGCATCGCTCCCCATATCCGACGGGAGAACATCACCCGCCACTTCGTACGGCAGCGTTGCGGATTGCACCAGTAACTCCTTGGTGGCCTTCACGTCTACGAGAGAAGCCCAGTACCCCGCCATCCCCGCTTCATCGCCTTCGCCTCTCACATTCTGTTTCGAGAACTCTGGCGAACCCAGCACGTCGGCAGCCTTGCGGAAAATATCGGCCTTGAACGATGGAGTAGTCGACGACCATGACGTGAAGGCTTTTCCGGCAGACTCGATGGCGTACAGGCTGTCATAATGGATGCGTCAGAAAATAGTCAAGTCCCATGCATGACGACGTACCAATCCGCAGCGGCGGCAGGTGGGGGGACGCGGACCAGCTTCCTCGTAGACGGACTACGGATCTCGTTGAAGGCGGTGGCGAGACTGATGCAGGAAGACATCCGTTTCCCAATGCGCAACGGAGATAGCAGTGGTGGCGCCAGCAGAGTCATGGCAGGGTAGACCCAGGTGAATTCGCAGGAGACTTGTACCCGAGGTAGGGAGGTTCTACGAGCCGTCCTACATTTTCGCGACTGCTCAAGAAGCCGCTTTAGTAGACCCAACGGACAGTGCCAACGACGCTTGAAACGCGCCTGGTGCCCCGCCACGTCTCGGACCGACCCGAACGACCATTGCAGCGATAGGCCTGGTCATAGCATGCACCGGTGCAGAGGCCTGAGATCTGAGAACCTACCACGTTTCTACGGGCCCGTGCGTCTCACTCGCGTGTCTGAAACCGGACACGACGAGTAATGGGACGGTGCGAAACGCACTTCAACTTATCAGCCATGGAGCCAAGCTTCTCGAATCTCGAGTCGGACACGGAGGGGATACTTGCGGACGGTCTGTAGCGGGTGCGTCGGCTGCATGGGGGGTAAGGATAGCAAACCTGAGGGTAAAGAATAGTGAACCAGCGGGATCGGGACGATACGAAGCAAATACAAGGGCGAATCTGGTATAAGCCCCTAGGAAGCAATTCTTAGTACTAGTAGGTTGTATGTATCTGGAACATTCCCGACAGCCTATATCCCTCGATAATTCGCGTGAGGTAGCAGGCTGCAACGGACGACTTTTTCGCTCGATTCTTCACCAGCCCACGCTGGCGTGGACGTATCCAATACTTGGCACATACTACAAATCCGCGATTTTTTTAGTTGAGACAGTGCATAGCCTGTCAAGCACCAGCTGTACGCGTATATAGGAGACATCCCCATCGTCTTAACATCCCTCGATAGCTCAGTTGGAAGAGCGTGAGACTGTAATGGGAAAATACCTTCGCTGGTGCGGCGATCTCAAGGTCACTGGTTCGATCCCGGTTCGAGGGATGACCAAAAGCTTTTAGCTTTTTTGGCAGACGAGGTCTGCAATGTCTGCGAAGGGGATAGAACCGGGATTTTTTTTCAGACATCACGGAGCGCGTCGATGGAGAGTACAATATACTTGCAAGCTATGTCAAATGTATAGTTTGCGAGCACCGCCGCTCCAAGTACATGTTTACGGACATGCCAATATGTATGACGTCGAGGCGACACAGTATTTCTCCAGGTTACATGGAAAGCACTCACTCACTAATCCCACCGGGCCAGACGTCTAACGTGTATAGGGAAGAATCCACATAAGATTTGCATATAACGAGCGCGGTAAGGCGACAAACGCAAAAACGAACGGAGACAAGCATGAGCGAGCGGGCGAGTGATAAATCGGACGAATACGCCAACGCGTAATGGAAGAGATTGGTATGTGGATGTGAGTGTGGATGTGGATGTGGCAAACTCTCCCGAAAGGAAAGAAGACTGTTCAACCGGAGGGGACGTATGGTGAGGAGGGGCGATGAGCGATGGTGAGGAGAAAGTGCGATGAGATGCGGCGTCGGCGCGACGATACGATGGGGTGAGAAGCAGAAGAGCGAATAAGATATGTACACAGCGAGGAGTGGAGTGGAGTGGAGGAGAACGAATACATAATGAGGAACAACCGTGACCACCACGGGAGGCGAAATCCAAGACCGAGAAAGAAGACAGAGACCAAGAATGAGACGTGGTGGGATGAGGAGATAGAGAAAGAAGAGATCCAAGAATCCAACACAAAAACAAGACAAAAAACTACACCAAACCCATGGGAGGGTTCGGACGGAGGGGAGGGAACGAAAGAGAGAGGAGGAGAGTGAGTGATGATATAAAACGAGAGCGTAGGGTAAGTTTATGGGGTGAGATCCGAGCAGTCTGGGAATATCGATACGGTAGAGATGAGATGATGAGGAAAAAGAAGGATGGAGGAGAAAAGAGACGGAGAAAGCCTGTGTATGCGGCTGTATGCGTTGACGGACCAAGAGGAGACGATGGAGGGAGAGGGTGGATGGATAAGTTACGAAGATAATCAACAGTCGAGCCTGAATGAGAAGCAGCGAAGGGGAGAACAGATGAGGTGTGGAATGGTGAGGAGGATGATGATGATGAGTGGTGCAGCCCCCTCCCCTGCATAGCGGAGGAAGCTTTCTATTACGATGTGCAAGAGTCGAGGAGAGAGGAGAAAAGAAACCAAGAAACACGAGAATGACGATGACGGAGTGGTGGTGGTGAACGATTCATTCGACGCAGCCTCGAGTCGAGAACCGGGTCTATGTACAACCAAAAGACAAGCGATCGTACACGACAGGGACCAGCCTCCCAGTCCGACAGCGAGAGCGTAGCGTCGTCCGTTCGACCACCTATGCGGGATGCGAGGGGAGGATGAGGGCGGCGCGGCGATACAGCGGCTGCGTAGGCGTATGCCCACGCCCACACGCCCGCGGTTTTGTTACATAAATGTAAATGCATAACAGGCGTAGGCAGCGTGTGGTGCGCGCCCTGCCCTTCCTCCTCGTCGACCTCCATAGCGGGGGGGTAGGAGCTTTCGTCCACAATGCACGTCCGCCCCGCTCTCGTCTACGGGACGTACGGCAGGAACGAAGTAGCAGCACCACCCCCAGAACAACAGAACCAACGAGCTAGTCACTTCAGCTCGTTTGGCCATGCGCGTGCGGATGCGTCGGATGCGCCGGGTCAGGCGAGGTAGCAGCCGACCCCGGGTTCGAACTGGTGTAGTCCTTGTGCCGACTGATCTTCTCGACACCTGCGCCGAGCGCCGTGCGGCGGTTGAGTTCCTACGAAACGCAAAGAATCAGCACCGCGACGCAGCAGTAATCGAGAACATAACAGAGAGTGCAAGCGTACCTCATCATCCTCATCCTCGTCACTATCCCCATCCCCGTCCTCCTTCTCTTCACCCTCCGCGTCGCCGTCATCCTCCTCGCCACTCCCGCTCGGGCTGCCCTCCTCCGAGACAGAGGAGGGCGTACTCGGCGTACCCGGCTCTTCTACAACCACCGTAGCCCCTTCCACAACGACGTCTTTCTTCGCCTCTTCACCATCTTCGACGACAGGCACAGGCACCCCGCGCGCCGTATCCGCGCTCCCCCGCCTCTCAGGCACCGGGATCGGGGCCGGGGGACTCTTCACCACCTG